GGGGGGGGGGGGGGGGGGGTCTGTGCTGCAATGGGGACAGCTGAAGAGTTCTGAGAGGGCTGAGACAAAGAAAAGGTCACAGAGAAGGACAAAGGGTGAAAAGAAAGGGCTGGTCAGGAGGAAAAGGAGAAGCTGGAAAGAAGTGAGCTCAAGATCTTGCCATCACTCAGAATGTGAGAGCAGAATGAAAGCTAGAAGAAAATTTCAGGTCAGAGGGAAACAGACAGCTCCACATTTCTGTCTTGTTGGTCCTGTACACACAGAGACAATTACTTCACTTGGAAGATGGGGACATGAAAACCAAGACTACCTGCTTCTGAAGTGTGGCATCCTTTTCTCTCTCTAGCACCTTAGCAAAGAATATATAAAAACTCTCCTCTATTGGCTGGAAAATTAATCTGGCCACAAGGGAGCCAAGATTATTCACTATATCATACACACCTACAAAAAAAAAGAAATAACAGTCTTATTGGTTTTTCTACTTGAATTTTTATAGCACTATTAACATTTTTTCTAATATAATTTTTTAAATTAAACTTTTTGAGATAATTATAGATTCACATGGAGTTGTAAGAAATAAAAGGGAAAACCATGTACCCTTTACCCATTTACCCCTACAAATAGTAAATTCTTGAAAAACTACAGCATAAGATCACAACTGACATAAATTCAGTCAGGATACAGAACATTTGCATCACTAGTACCTTTTTATAAAAGTCATTAATGCCAAGTTGAGTTTTTTCTATTTTTATTTCCACTACTTAGGGACAGTATTCAAAAATAAATGTGAAAAAATATTAAGACCTAGTTAGCCACACACACAGGCCAAATCTTCATGACTGTGATGACCTTCCTATTATCCTGGCACCCTCTGACCTCCAAAATGAGCCCCAGAGCTCTGCAGAAAGCTGGGTAAGGGCAGGGAATCCCAGCAGAAAACCTGCCGCCCAAGACACACAGGAGGGAATAGTCAGATACACATTTATAAAGACCTACAATTTTCAATCTTCAGGATTCATTTTTTATAACCTTCAGATTTGTTTTTTCATTAAATGTATCAAACTACAGGGGTTTCCCTGGTGGTCTAGTGGTTAGGAATCTGCCTTGTAACGCAAGGGCCTGCATTCCACAACAAGAGAAGCCACTGAACTCAGAAGCCCGCACACCACAACCAGGAATAGCCCCCTGCATGCAGCAACAGATCCAGTGCAGCCAAAAATCAATCAATAAATAGATATTTTAAAAAGAATCAAACTACAGAGGCAAATATTAGAAAGTATCGTGAAGATAGCTCATCTTTAATTAAAACACTGCAGAATTTCATCTTACCCTGATCCCCAAAATTTAACACGTTCAAAAATGTCATCACATATCGCTCGCCTATAAATGGAAAAGCAAAATAATTAGCATTTCAAATACACAGTATTTTATTGCCTTCTTTTCTCTTGTTGTCTATCGTCTCTTCCAGTTGGTAAATACTGTCAAAGCAGAAAAGTTAGATACTTGACTAATGACATGGTCCTTGTCCTAATGTTGATTTAAAATAATCTCAAGCAGGTCACCCCGAGCCCGGGCGGGAGAAGCCGCCGGCCGGAGGCCCGGTCGGGGGGATGTGGAGCCGGCGCTGCGTCCGCCGCGGGTCCGGGCGGCGCGCGGTTTCTGTCGGCCCACAGGCGTGCCTGCCCCTTTAATTGGCGCGTACCAAGTCCTTCCCGGTTGCAGGTCACCCCGAGCCCGGGCGCGTGGCCGCGGGGCCGCGGGGCCGCCCTCCCCGCCTCGCGCCGTAGCGCAGTTCCAAGATGGCGGCCACCATGAAGAAGGCGGCTGCAGAAGATGTCAATGTCACTTTTGAAGATCAACAAAAGATAAACAAATTTGCACGGAATACAAGTAGAATCACAGAGCTGAAGGAAGAAATAGAAGTAAAAAAGAAACAACTACAAAACTTAGAAGATGCCTGTGAGGACATCATGCTTGCAGATGACGACTGCTTAATGATACCTTATCAGATCGGAGATGTTTTCATTAGTCATTCTCAAGAAGAAACACAAGAAATGTTAGAAGAAGCCAAGAAAAATATGCAAGAAGAAATTGACGCCTTAGAATCCAGAGTGGAATCAATTCAGCGGGTGTTAGCAGATTTCAAAGTTCAGTTATATGCAAAATTTGGGAGTAACATAAACCTTGAAGCTGATGAAAGTTAAACATTTTATAAAATTTTTTAAAATTTGTTTAATAAACTTGGAATATTTTTTAAAAAATAAATAAATAACATAATCTCAAAATAATAACAATTTGGAAAGTGCTGGTGGCTTTATTGATAGCAAAGTTACAAACCAATTTAATTAAAAAACATAAAAAATCAATCAAACCAGCCTGATAAGTTTTCTTAAAAGTGTGAAGAGTTACAGAAATGTTAATAATAAAAGATAATCTCAAGTTTTCAGGGAGGTCAAATAATCTGAGTGTAAATTCTGTGAAATGAAAGGTCCATGATAAACCATACACTCATCAGAAGTTTCCTCTCTGAGTAGAGAAAACTCTGTGGAGGCCAGCAATTCTCAGCAGTCCTAGTTCATGGTTCAAATCTAAGACAGTCTAACACGCTCAAGGTGAAGACATTAGCCCTGAGCCCTATTCCCCACCTCCATGAATATTCTTATTATCCCTGAATGGGAAACAATAACCGCTATGGAGGCGGAGCACTAAGGAGGCCACAGCCCTGAAGGGCCAACTCTCACCTCCTAGACACTTGCTCAAAGAAGAAAGCAGCAGTAAGAGACAAGAATGTGATATTCTCTCAAGTCCCTCTCCCGATCTTTTCCTCCCTACAATGTGGCAGGGACCTCTGCAGGTCCTTCCAGGCATGGGCCCCCCAGGGGTTACACGGACTCCCATCAGTATCTCTGCTCTTCTCTAATCCATCCTCATCGCTAACAGTTCCAGCTTTTGCAAATACAGATCTTAAGTCATCTCTTCTTTCACTCCTTTAAATGGCTCTATTGTGTTTGCAAAAAGTCCAAGTGCCTTGGTTTTGCATTTGGGACCTTTTATAGGCTGACCCTACCTTTTCGACTCAGATAATCATGATGGTTATGATCACTCAACTAGAGCCAGACATCCTGGAATGTGAAGTCAAATGGGCCTTACGAAGCATCACTATAAACAAAGCTAGTGGAGGTGATGGAATTCCAGTTGAGCTATTTCAAATTCTAAAAGATGATGCTGTGAAAGTGCTGCACTCAATACGTCAGCAAATTTGGAAAACTCAGCCGTGGCCACAGGACTGGAAAACTTCTGTCTTCATTCCAATCCCAAAGAAAGGCAATGCCAAAAAATGCTCAGACTACCACATAATTGCACTCATCTTACACGTTAGTAAAGTAATGCTCAAAATTCTCCAAGCCAGTCTTCAACAGTACATGCACCATGACCTTCCAAATGCTCAAGCTGGATTTAGAAAAGGCAGAGGAACCAGAGATCAAATTGCCAACATCCACTGGATCATCAAAAAAGCAAGAGAGTTCCAGAAAAACATCTACTTCTGCTTTATTGACTATGCCAAAGCCTTTGACTGTGTGGAT